GGATGAGAAGTGGTGCAAGCATGGTCATACTGGTCATACCATGTGTGACACCACCCCTGCCCATCGACTCAACATTCCGTGTTGGTCACGTGACGATTGCAATTGCGAGTCTAGAATGTCCACTTACCTGTCACGCAGACCTTTCCATTCCCGGTGTACCCCGTGTGACAGGTGCACAGGAATCCAGGTGTGGTATCGGCACACATAGCGTTCTTTGAACACGGCGATTGTAAACACTCGTTGATATTCACACATGCGCCGCCCACTTGCTGATATCCGTCAGCACACGGACATGAAAAACTGCCCACCGTGTTGAAGCATGACAGGCTTCTGTCAGTACAGTACGTCAGGCATTCGTCTGTGTCTATGCACTTGGCAACAGCAGGGCCGGCGGTCACAGTCCTGCTGGAGCTGTTGGTGGCTGTAGTGATGGTGCTGGTATTGGTGCTGAGGTGATAACCGGGCTGACATTTACACGTGTAGGAGCCGACGCTGTTACTGCAAATGCACTGCGGGTCACGGCTCACCGCACTGCCGTCAAGGCATTCGTCAATGTCTGTTGCCATAAGAACAGGGCACAAGAACAAAATGAGAAAAACGTGAAAACAATGTTCAGGGAGCGGACATAGCACTAGTCACAATCATGCAAAACACTTTTGGCTCCAAACTGCACTTGAGAAGTTTACAAGAAAAATCGTATCAAAGCCTGTCTCGTGAGCCTAGCTCTATTGTTGACATACAGAGGAATACATGGTTTGACGGAAATCCTGCGTTCAATAGAAGTCTATAGTAGGTTTTAAAAGCATAACGTTTATAAGGCTCTAGACATTTTCGAAGAATTCAAATTTCGTATAGCGTGAGGTCCTCAATTTATGCTTTTGCTGTAGCTCTATAAGTTGCTGTATTTTCCATTTTTCCATTACTCCCTGTACTTACCCATGATGAGAAAGGAACGAAAACGTTCGGTTACACAATTGGCTTACTTGACTGTGTGGATTGCTTCGGAGCTGACACCTTCTTTTTCGAAATTCAAATTTTGCGGCTTGAACTTTTTCAGAAATTTCTTCGGGATATCGCTCAGGCAATTCCCCCAACTTTTCTCATATTATAGATTTCTATGCAATTGGATAACAAAAACCCAAAATGGAAATTTCTATGCACAAAGTAATCACAGATCTGGCCTAACGTTTTTTTTTAAAACCAGATGTCTATACACACTGTGGCACAGTGACATTAGCTACTACAGGAGTGATCGTGCATGGCTTCAGTACGCGGTATTTCGATAGCACTCGCTTCATCGAATATTGTTGTATTTGAGTAGGGTTGCAATTTACTTATCACATTCTTCCTTTCATGCAATTGTTTTCAGCACTTGAATTGTGTTCTGCTCCTCCATAACAAGTAATTAGCTTGGTTCGGGAACTAAACAGCCGTGCACAGTGCACACAGCACAACAGCAACAACAGCAGTCTGATTACCGTCGCATGCTCTGCCGGTCCAGCGATATCCCGAGCGGCACGTGCAGCTAAACGAACCGACCGTGTCCGTGCAGGCGAGAGCGTTTGCGCCGCAGACGGCCGACACACCAGCCTGGCATTCATCTACGTCTGCACGCATTGCGGAAAGAAATACAACGATTACACAGCAATGAAGCAAACAAATCTTTTCCGCTGTTTAGTACTCGGGTGTTTCGTGTGAAACGTTCATCAGACAGCATATGACCAAGAATATAATTATACGGAGAAAAGAAATGCATGTACATGCAGCATAGCGCACAACCATATTTGGAGACAGAGCCTGGTGCCGATGCTCAGCTGAAGCAAATGGTCGGTCTCATCTTCGAGGAAAAAGCCGCAAAGATTTGGCTTCATATCTTTGTCACGTGAAAAAAATTGTGCAGAAAGTGATCACAGGGTGAGTGGACAGTGGAACCAACATGGCCGACATCATGTGACCCATAGATGCTGGGGTGTAGAGTGGAGTTGGAACCAACATTGCCGATGTCATGTGACCCATAGATGCTGGGGGTTGAGTGGAGTTGGAACCAACATGGCCGATGTCATGTGACCCACAGATGCAGGGTTTGAGGGGAGTTGGAACCAACATGGACGACATCATGTGACCCATCCATGCAGGGGTTGAGGGGAGCCAGCATGGCGTCTGTTAAAGTCTACAGATTTCTGCCTCCCAGGGCAAACGTTAGAACACATGTAGGCCGCACAGGCTGCACTGCTGCTGCCTGTATATACACTATCACACTGAATCTTGCAAAATGATATTTCAGCTGCAACGAATTAAATTTAAGGCTGAAAGTGCCCAGGTCGAAAATAGCCGAAAAAAGTGTGCGCCGCATATTTGATGACTTTAAAGTGGACTAGATATTGGGGCACCTCCCACAGTAAACCAGGACTGTTAGCATTTTTGTAAGTTGTACCTTTATTTATGGATTCTTCACTGGCCTTGGCCTCAATCGTGGGAGTCCCCGTCAACGGCTTATGACAAGGAAGAAGCCAAAGAGAAAGTGAAAATAAAAGGAAAAGGATAGAAAGATGCTCGGTGGTACGGTAGTGTCGGTCGCCGAAGAACTGGGGGTGAGGGTCAGCCTCCTAGCCGACACCGTACTTATTTTCATGTATCATAGTCTGTGCACAGTTGAGTCACCATGTCTACATTGGTATGCTGTGCTTGATGATATTCTAGCCTGGTCGTTCTTCGGCGCCGGACTATAGCCATTCTCCTTAACTCACCTTCACACTGGCCAAGGGTGTTCTTGGTGAATCCCGGATCACACACACAAGTGTATGCTCCGACAGAGTTATTACAGTGGGAGTTAACCGGGCATTGGTATCTCGACAATGACGACGACGACGAGCCCAGCGAGCATTCGTCTACGTCTATATACACGCAGACATACACATGCAGACACACACACGCACGGACACATGCAGACTCACTCAGACACACGCATACTCGTACACACACACACACACACACACACACACACACACACACACACACACACACACACACACACACACACACACACACATACACACACACATGAGGGCGCTCGCACACGCACACGCACACGCACACGCACACGCACACACACACACACACACACACACACACACACACACAAGAGCACCATCAAATATGGAACTGCTTCTCTGGACCAAACATTTCTGTCCACCTAACCTGGCCTTTTGCCCTCATCCCAATCATCTTGAGCACTGAAAAGTTCTGAAATTGGAGCAGTCTCGTTAACTTTTGAAAGGCCAATTTTGACCGAATAACGTTACAGGCTCAAAACCAACTATAAATTCGAAAATATGGGCCTCTTGATGAAATTTAGCATGACAAACCTGCCCGAATTTCGCAAAACTTGGCCAAAGTCCAGATTTGACTTTTCAAGCCTCGATTGTGGCAATGAAGAATAGCACGGGTCACACAACGCAGGATGTGCTGTTGTTTTCATGATCTCTGGCACTGTAGGTGCAAGACACCAAAAGATTAGGGTGCGGGATTTTGGATGAACCTTCTCTAAAAGGGAAGCTTCCAAGCAGGGTCACTGACCTTCGCAGTAGCTTCCATTGCCAGAGTATCCCTTTGAGCAACTGCAGGTGAAGGTCTGTATCCCGTCCAGGCATTCCGCCGTCTGTATACACGGCGGTGGCGTGACGCGGCAGTAATCCACATCTGTGTTCACGTGTGTGTGTGTGTGTGTGTGTGTGTGCACGCGTGCAGCATGTGCGTGCATGTGAGGAGGGTGTGTATGTGCAATGATAAGCAAAACGAAAGAAAACAAAATAGTGAAGAGGTAATTAGTCCCGCAGTGAAGCCTGGTTGGCTATCACCCCTCCCTCGCACTTTGTGTGCCAATTGGTCATGGACCACGAGTTGATTGAAATCAAATACAGTTAAACTTGTCAAGGCGACCACTGGGATAAGGCGACCACCTGTCCAATAGGGGCACTACAAATAATGATCAATCAAGAGTACATGAAAACCAGAGTGTGCAGCTCGGATGGGTTGCTGTCACGGCGGAATTCCGCGATTACATCATTTTAGTGATGTAGTGCGTACAAGCAGGATTCGAGCAGGTCTCTTTCTGCACAACTGCAGCTCAGTTGTACGCACTCCGCCATTTCCCGCCTCAGATCTGCGCCAAATATGATGTAATCACGGAATTCCGCCGTGACAGACACCCATAGTAGAAAAGGCCCCAAGCTGCACACTCTGGTTTTCATGTACTCTTGGTTCAATGGATGCTATTTCCAGTCAAATAATCCTGGACAAGAAAATACCTGGTAAAAGAGGCCACATTTTGAAGGTTCCTTGAGCGGTCGCCATAGACAGGTTTCACTGTAAAATTAAAAAAGCTGCCAAAATCCCAGACTAGTCCACTGAGCTCTTCTTCCGCGCTATGCAACCAAGCGGTTTTGCATTTCTCATTCAGAAACCTATGCACAAGACTGCTAACATGACGATAGCCAATGGGGGCTCGTGGCCAGCCTGTAGTGAGAGCGCCCACCAAACGTGCCTCAGTTCCAAAAAGGAAGTTTATGCCAGTATCCTGAGGGGGAGCGAGGGGTTGGGTTGAACGAAATGCTACCAGCAGATCCATGTGTGCAAAAAAACCCGAGTCAAAAGCCTTCAACCTTCATGGAGTTCTGGTTGTTTAACTAACTGCATTTACATCGTTTGAAATCTTTTATTCTCATGATGGCCTGTGGCCAATAAGAGAATTGTTTTATAAAGCATTGTGCTGGTTAGTGTCCTCTTCTGTGGTCTGTATCCATGTGAAGAGAAGGCAACTGAAGTGCTTGTGAAAACAGGGCAAATGTTGATCGCAAACTCGGAGCCAGAAGCTTGTGTTTTCTTAACTCAGGGTCAGTCAGCGGTATCTCCAAGAAAATTCATTATAATTATATACCGTGAACCTTCCATGAACCTTCCAAGTTGGAAGGCCGCTGGTGAGCGCTATCAAGCAGTGCTCAAGCTGACTTTAATGCCGTGGAATGTGTCGGTACTCCTTGTCAGTTTTGTGCTAGATTGTGCACGTCCGACTGTTCAAAATCTGGTTTAGTTGGTGGACTCGATCGCAGAACTTGTGCCCACGATTTCCATGTTTTAAAATTCATTCTCCATGCACACGTACAGAGTATGGTCACCCTGTACCACACACCATCCCATTGTTCCCTATTGCCCTTTTCATGTTCTCCCGTTCTCCTTTTCCCGGTGGCGGTGGGGCAGTGTTGTTGAAGGAAACAAAGAAAGGAAAAAGAACAACGATTTAATGGTCTGGATGACTAGTAACAAACCCGGCAGACTCACCCTGGCATTCCTGGTTTACCGAGCCAAATCCGGGCAAACAAGGACAGGCGTAGCTGCCAATGGAGTTGACGCAGTCGGAGTTCTTACGGCACACACCTGGTGTTGCCTTGCATTCGTTCACGTCTGTAGCCAATATATGACATACACATATGCATGCGTGCACGCACGCACACACGCACATGCACACGCACACGCACACGCACACACACACACACCCACGCACACACACACAAACCCACTGACAAAGAGATACACAGTGGCATCGACAGACGCAACCACCATGCAGGGGTCACTATGACTTGGTTGTTGAGGCGCTCTCACAGCTCACAACTACAACATTATCTTCACACGTACCTGTGCTCTCTCTCACAAATACACACACACACACACACACACACACTCACACGCACACACACACACACACACACACACACTCACACACACTCACACACACACACACACATACACACACACACACACCCAAACACACACACTCATTCACAGCTCACAACCAGCACATTCTCTTCACACATACCTGTACACTGCTTGCCATCACCGGTATACCCTACTCTACAGGTGCAAGAGTAGCTAGCAACTGAGTTACTACAGTTTGCATTTGCATCACAATTGCCGTTGTTCACACTGCATTCATCAATATCTGCAGTACACACACAAAAATCACAATGCATATTGGGTTTTTTTTGTCGGGTTCAGGAATTATTTTCAGTGTCAGGCTAAGTTTTTTTTTCGTCCGGTGTCAGGTCCGGGAAATTTTCTTCCTGTATCAGGCTCTCAGATGGCGAGCTGAGGAAATCTTTTAAATTAACTTGAAAACATAGAAGACAGTGGGGCACAAGTTATCCGACTGGTGCTAAATTGTGCACCAGACCAACTGTTCAAAATCTGGTTTATTTGGTGAACTCTGTGAACGCATACCTTGCGATCCACTGGTTGCCATGCTTTCAATTTGGTATCGGATTCCGGAATTTTTCTTTGGACACCGGGTTTGGAATTTTTCAAATAACGGTTTTGGGAGATTGCCTTCCAGTATCAAGTTCGGGAAATTTCTTTCTGGTTTCGGGTTAGAGGATTTCCTACAAACATCGGGTTTGAGTATTTTTTTGTTTCCATGCACTGTATTCATCATCATCTTTGGCCAAACAAAGACAGCTATAGGAAGTAGTTCAGAGCAGACCCGGTCTTTCTCATCCACTCTGCAACAGTATCAAACTCATTTATCAATCTAGATCAGTGTGCATGTCAAAATCTGTTCAAAATCTGGTTTAGTTGGCGGACTCGATCGCATAACTTGTGCCCACAATTTCCATGTTACAACTGAGATTATCAATTCTTACAAGTTATTCTGCAAAACTGCACTCCTTTAGGTTTGCAATTCGATACAATTGCAGATTGAATGGTAAAGCGTGAGTCTGGTCTTAGAACGAGTTCCTATGAATGAATCTGTAGGGAGCCTAACCACTGCTACTAGAAGTACAGTTGTGCTCACTGGAATCGGACGCAGAGTGCAAACCTGACTCCCTGGACTAGTTCCGCAGATTACATCACTGGACGTGTCGTTGTTAGTTATCCAATACTAGTATACCATCACTGCCCTTGTACATGTGCACGTACAGCAGTATTGGTGCTACTTCCACGGCGTCAAGGGCCGCGCAAGTTGAGCCGCCAAACACGCCCTGCAGGTTGGTTTTCACCGAGCACCACCGTTGCTATGGATACTAAACACCGGACCGAGGGGAATGTTGCAAAAGAAGGATCCACGAGCGGGATTCGAACAACCCAGCACCCCCTGTCTTTCCGGCACAGTGCCCTACCGATTAGGCTACTGGGGATCACACACGCCCATGGATCCTTCTTGCTACACTGCTGGCCGACGTCATGCTAAAACCAACTATGATCTCAAAGCAAAAGACGATGCTTTGAAGGTAGGACAGTTTGTTTGGCTGTACCGATACCCCCAAGCTGGCGACAGCCCTAAGTTGTTCCGGTATTGGGATGGCCCGCGGCAAGTCTCTGTTGTTCACTCCCTCCTAGTCTACACCATTAAACGGCTTGGCGTCCATTCATCCCGGCGCACCACTATCATGACCGTCCACAGGAATAGATTAAAGCGAATCTTTGGCCCTGTGAACCTCCCACCTGTGGACGCCCCGGGGCCGGGCCTCATTGTACGCACTCACCTATGCACGCAACAGAGTTGGACCATGATCCGTTATTCAAACAGACAATCGATGTGACGTTAGCTGGCTTGAGTTCAAAGCCGGACTTGCAGATTGGGGTTTGCAAGCTGTTGTATGTCGTGGGCGAGGCGGGTGTGAATCGACCGTTCGTAATCGGCGCTGGTCCGCAGTCGACGTCTGCTCAGATGAAGGCACATACGCACACGTGTGCACACGCCCATACACACACACACACACACATGTATGCACTTACACACACACACAAACACACGCAAACACACAAACACACACGCAAACACACAAACATACAAACACACACAAACATACACACACACACACAAACACACGCACAAACACACACACACACACACACACACAAATACACGCACAAACACACACACACACAGACATGTTCATCAAAAAGGTACAGGAGTGTGGACTGTGTGCGAAGGGTACGCTGGTCACCTAACTCTAAGTCACAACTGAAACCAGCCAGGTCCCCGACAGTGACAATTTTACACTCCTAATACCACATTCTTATACAGAATAACGAAAGCAATGGAGTTCCTACAGGGAAGTGTAAAAGTGCAATAGGGCGTACAGGTTGTTCCCCTAAATTGCATAAAATACCGTCATGGCACGTATGAAAGCCATGTTTGTTCCGCAGAAGTCGATGCAAGGGCAAGGCTTTTATTCAAATTAATAATTGCATTCAAACAAGGTGTTTCAATGCAACTACAGCGCTCATTGCCTGCAAGGGAAGATTTTTCTCTCTCTTTCTTTTTTAGTCTATCTATCTGTGTGTGTGTGTGTGTGTGTGTGTGTGTGTGTGTGTGTGTGTGTGTGTGTGTGTGTGTGTGTATGTCTGTCTGTCTGTCTGTCTGTGTGTGTGTGTGAGTGTGAGTGTGTGTGTGTGTCTGTTTGTCTATCTGTACGTCCGTCCCTCCGTCCGTCCATCTGTCTGCCAGACTCTCTGCCAGTCTGTCTGTCTGTCTGTCTGTCTGTCTGTCTGTCTGTCTGTCTGTCTGTCTGTCTGTCTGTCTGTCTGTCTGTCTGCCTGTCTTTCGGTTTTTCGGGTGTCGGTCGTTCCGTCCGTCCGTCTGTCAGTCTCACCCCCCCCCCCTCTCTCTCTCTCTCTCTCTCTCTCTCTCTCTCTCTCTCTCTCTCTCTCTCTCTCTCTCTCCCTCTCCCTCTCTCTCCCTCTCCCTCTCTCTCCCTCTCCCTCTCTCTCTCGCTCTCTCTCCCTCGCTCTCTCTCTCTCGCTCTCTCGCTCGCTCTCTCTCTCGCTCTCTCTCTCTCTCGCTCTCTCCCCCTCGCTCTCTCTCTCGCTCTCTCTCTCTCTCTCTCTCTCTCTCTCTCTCTCTCTCTCTCTCTCTCTCTCTCTCTCTCTCTCTCTCTCTCTCTCTCTCGCTCTCGCTCTCGCTCTCGCTCTCGCTCTCTCTCTCTCTCTCTCTCTCTCTCTCTCTCTCTCTCTCTCTCTCTCTCTCTCTCTCTCTCTCTCTCTCTCTCTATCTATCTATCTATCTATCTCTCTGGTTTGCAGCTCCCAACCAGCACATTCTCTTCACACATACCTGTACACTGCTTGCCATTACCGGTATACCCTACTCTACAGGTGCAAGAGTAGCTACCAACTGAGTTACTACAGTTTGCATTTGCATCACAATTGCCGTTGTTCACACTGCATTCGTCAATATCTGCAGTACACACAAAAATGCATCCACACAAACGCACGCACGCACACACACGCACACACCTTTGGACCTTTGGAAAGCCCATCGCCGAAGGCGATGATAGCTATTAGGCAAGGCAGTAGTTCTTGTGTCGGGATATATCATTCGGACGGCGAAAGTCGCGGCCGCAGACACAGACGAACACTCTTGGTTGGGGCTGGCTTGGTGGCTTCCGACGGCTACGTTCGCGCCAGTCCCTCCGGTCCTGAGCAAGGTGGTACCATTGCGTCTCCGGGATACCGGTCGCACGCAGGTCTGAAGCTGCCACATCTCTCCAACGACGCTTGGGTCCATGGCGGGGCCGCGTGTTAGTGCCCTCCGCAAACAGGATCTGCTTTGGCAACCTGGTATCGTCCATCCTTGCGAGGTGACCAAGCCATCGCAGGCGATTCGCACGAATGGCCTCCTCCAGCGAGGCTGGCATGCCGCTGCGCTTCGCCAAGTCTTCACTTGACAGGTGTTCCTGCCACTGCTGGTCTCGGGTAACACTCAGGATCGTGCGAACACACTGTCGATGGAACGTGTCCAACCTGCGCAGGAGGGGTGCCTTCAGCGTCCATGTCCGCACACACACACACACACACACACACACACACACACACACACACACACACACACACACACACACACACACACACACACCTTGACCTTTGACGCCCCATCTCCAGTGGAGATGATAGGCTACTGAGTTGGGCAGTACTTGATGTGACGCTTCAAATCGCCACTTCTCCTAAACGCTCTGCCGCATGCGCAATGAAAGTCCTTCGGTGCCGGGGGAGGAAGACGATGTTGATGAACCCGCCTGCGCCATTCCAGGCGATCTTGTGCGAGCCGATACCACTCGGACTCCGGAATATCCAGCAAGCGCAGATCACCGACAATCGTGTCTCGCCAACGCTTCTTTGGTCCATGCTGTGGTTTGGTTGCTTTGAGCTCACCAAACAACAATTGTTGAGGAATCTGGGCCGCGTCCATACGGGCAACATGACCCAGCCAACGCAGACGGTACTCACGCAGGAGAGCGCCAATGTCCTCAGGAAGACGCGCTCTCTGGGCTAGATCAGCAGTATTAAGATGACGGGAGTGCTGATCGCTCCTTGAGACTCCCAAGATGGAACGGACGCATGAGCGATGAAACAGATTCAGGCGATTTCCGCTGGAAATGTATCAAGAAGTTGCGGGGAATGCACACTGGCCGACAGTCAGTGGTGACATCCAGCGTTCGGGATGAGAATGGCAACTTGACAGACGGTCCAGAGAGTGTGGGAGCTTGTTGGCATCGCCACTTTGATCGTGTCCTTAATGTTCAGAGTGTGTTTGATGCGGAAGTCATTGAATCCATGCCAGTGCTTGGCATCAGGCAAAGTCTTGACGACCCGCCCTCTTTTGAGGAAGTGGTATCGGCGATCAGGAAGCTACACCCAGGCACTGCGGGTGGACAGTCTGGAATTGTCCCGGAGATGATTCTTGCTGGTGGCGAGGCCTTGCATGAGCGCGTCCACAATGTGATCAATGAGGTATGGACCTGCGGTTCTGCCGTGTCTGACTGGCGAAACGCAGAGATCGTCCCTATCCCCAAGAAAGGTGACTTACGGTCCTGCGATAACTGGCGTGGCATCAGCCTCCTGGATGTGGTCGGCAAGGTCTTTGCTCGTGTTCTTCAGGGTCGCCTGCAGGCGGTGGCAGAGGATGTTCTGCCGGATTCCCAGTGCGGATTCCGCAGGGGCCGTGGCTGCAGTGACATGGTATTCACTGCAAGACAACTGATGGAGAAGGCAGTGGAGCACGATTCTGAGCTATATGTGCTTTTCGTCGATCTGCGCAAGGCCTATGATTCAATTCCGCGGTCTGCTTTGTGGCTTGTGCTCCGCAATCTGGGCATTCCTCCGAAGCTGCTTGGCCTTGTCCAGTCGCTCCATGAAGGCATGGAGGCGCGTGTTCGGCTCCCTAACGTCGTCACGGACAACATCAACGTCCGGAATGGCTTGCGTCAGGGCTGCACACTGGCGCCTACGCTCTTTAATCTGTATTTCTCTGCAGTGGTCTCTTCGTGGCATCGCCAGTCTTCTGTTCCGGGTGTACGGGTCCGCTACCGTGTCGGCAGGAAGCTTGTTGGGGATCGGACCGCCAAGTCTCGACTGGCCTCCACTGACGTCACAGAGTCCCAGTTTGCTGATGATGCGGCTCTCTACACCACCTCTTTGAGCCACCTGGAGACGATGACAAACGAGTTTGTGTCCTGTGCTTCGGGTTGGGGTCTAACTGTGAGCGTCCAGAAGACCAAGGCCATGGCGGTGAACTGCTCTCAACCGCCACCTTCCATTGATCTTCAGGATGGAGGAAGCGTGGAGGCTGTGGACAGCTTTACCTATCTGTATTTCACACACACACACACACACACACACACACACACACGTTGAGTGTAAGCACACACACACACGAGCATGTGTGCATGTGCGCACATTCACCAACAAAGCTCTCATACCCTAAACATATTGAACCAGCTGAACTTTCCAGAATTAAACAATGCAGCCTAGCACTGCAGTAGTGCTCCGGGAAGTCTGGCCGAAGGGGCTTTTTCATACCCTCAACTTGCATGGCTGTTGATGTGCTGGAAGTGATATGAACAAGGATGGACGTATCCCTGTACCCTCAACTTGCACGGCTGTTGATGTGCTGGAAGTGATATGAACAAGGATGGACGTATCCCTGTACCCTCAACTTGCACGGCTGTTGATGTGCTGGAAGTGATATGAACAAGGATGGACGTATCCCTGTACCCTCAACTTGCACGGCTGTTGATGTGCTGGAAGTGATATGAACAAGGATGGACGTATCCCTGTACCCTCAACTTGCACGGCTGTTGATGTGCTGGAAGTGATATGAACAAGGATGGACGTATCCCTGTACCCTCAACTTGCACGGCTGTTGATGTGCTGGAAGTGATATGAACAAGGATGGACGTATCCCTGTACCCTCAACTTGCACGGCTGTTGATGTGCTGGAAGTGATATGAACAAGGATGGACGTATCCCTGTACCCTCAACTTGCACGGCTGTTGATGTGCTGGAAGTGATATGAACAAGGATGGACGTATCCCTGTACCCTCAACTTGCACGGCTGTTGATGTGCTGGAAGTGATATGAACAAGGATGGACGTATCCCTGTACCCTCAACTTGCACGGCTGTTGATGTGCTGGAAGTGATATGAACAAGGATGGACGTATCCCTG